TGTGTGTGTGTGTGTGTGTGTGTGTGTGTGTGTGTGTGTATGTATATGTATATGTGTATGTGTATGTGTATGTGTATAGATAGATAGATAGATAGATAGATAGATAGATAGATAGATAGATAGATCGATCGATCTTTGGTTATTCGGGTTTTCTCCCACGTAAGATTGGAAGTATCTAGGCAAGCTTTTGATGAAGTCTCATTCATCATCTTCAGGCTTGTGTCTTCAACTCTGTGCTTCTCAGAGTGTGTCACAAGAGCTTCTTCAGCTCTTGTGTCACAGAGCTGAAGACACAAGCCTGAAGATGATGAATGAGACTTCATCGAAACGTTGCCTAGATACTTCCAATCTTACGCAGGAGAAAACCCGAATAACCAAAGATCCACATACAAATACCCGCGAGAACCTCAGACACATACACACACACACACACACACACACACATATATTTCAGTTGGAAATTTTCTAGGACACATATATATCCTAGAATATAGATAGATGGTACGTACGGAGGGAGAGAGAGATGATAGAAAGATACAGAGATAGATGATAGATAGGTGAGAGAGAGAGAGAGGTTATATATATTCTATAAAATTTCCAACTGAAACACCTACATGCACAGAGAAATATTACCAGCTACATAATCTTTTTATATACTAAAAAAATGGACATAACTATTGTACAAGAGTTTTCCTGAGTAATCAACTATATTTGACACTAAGCCATAGTCCTTCAGAGATTTAAGTGTCTTAGTGCCACCTTACATCATGCTTTCTCATTTTCTATCTTTTTGTAGGTCCTCACCAGGATTTTTAAATAAAATTATATAAAAAAGGGTGAACTCTGAGTTTTGACAAGTGTTAAAAGCAATAGCACTTCAGGTCGTTGCATCCTTTTTGAGTGGAATTTTCTTTCTTCCAGAATTCCTCAGAGTGATCACAAGTACAGAAGTACATAATTGGAAGAAAAGATTCAACCTTCTGTATTAGTCTTTTTCTCTGGAAGTTTCTGGTTTGGATCCTTCACCGTTTTAAGCCCACTCTTGTTTTCTGACCTGATGGGAGGAGGGGGAGGGGAAGGGAGGGGTGTGGGGGAGTGCTTTGGGACTTTGGAATTGGATAGGTCTAGTTTAATGAAAAAAAGGGGGTCAGTGTTCCAATAGTTGAGGGGCTGCCACAAAGAAGAGGAAAGACAAGAAGGCAAGACAAGAAGCACCGGATGGAAACTCATCAAGGGGAAAAGCAACCCGGAACTATAAGAGAGAAATTTACTGACGCTGAGAACAATGAATCAGTGGAACGACTTGCCTCTACAAGTTGTAGGTGCTCCAACACTGGAGATTTTTAAGAAGAGGTTGGGCAACCACCTGTCTCTGAAGGGGTAGGGAGTCTCTAAACATGAGCAAAGGTTTGGACTAGAAGGCCTCCAGGGTCCCTTCCAACTTCCTTATTCTGTTAAGGGCTGGTCCAATTTGCATCTCTGAGTCAACATAATAAAGTGAGGTGTTCCGAGTGAACCTTCTAGGAAGAACAGGGTTAATGAGGGGCTTTAATGCCTCAGCATCTCTTTCCGCGACTAAATGCAACCGTCAACACTGCTTTCTAACAACCTCCCCCTTCCCCTGCCCTGGGCCCACCCGGCCCCTCTCGATTCTGTCTCAATCTCGTGCCACCCCAAAGTCCAGCTGTCTGCCTCTGGTCACTCAGTGGTTCCTATTGGCTCAGGACGACCTAATTCCTCTATTTACACTTTGGCGAAGTGGACAGATGGCGCTGGGCTTCTGAGAAGGATTAGCAGGCATCACGGAAGGTTCTTATCCACTCCAAGCCAGAAGGGGTACTTAAATAAATAAATAAAAACAGGAACACTAATCTTTTGCCCCTGACAATATTACCGTAAATGCATAAGGAAATAGAGGTGGAACAGTGGGCTAAGGGGCAACGTCTGCTCTGCAATTCTTGTTTTCTGTCATGATTTTAGACCCGTCCTTCAACAATGGCTGATGGAGGACTGTGTTGTTCTCCTCTTCTTCCTCACTTGCCTCTAGATCAACATTTCTCAATCGTGACAACTTTAAGACGTGTGGACTTCAACTCCCACAATCGACATCCTTTCCAACTCATTTCTGTATCAGTATTATTATTGTTGTTATTATTGTAAAAATAGCATCTACATTCACATTTACTTTCACATTCAATTTCTTCTAGAGCCTGCATTTTGAACACGTTTCCTCCTCAAATGTGCATTTTTTTCTATCTCAATTTCCTTGAAATGTCACTTTTTGTCTTGATTTGTTACTGAGCTGTGGAGAATTTAGGGAAGTGTATGGGCCAGAGCATTTCGCCTCTAAAGCGACTGCAGCTGATGGATTGACTTTTCGTGACTGCACAATGTTTTCTTCACACAAACCATACTTCCTGGTGACAGGACCACAGACCATTAGAATTATTCCCCTAATAGGGTTATCAACTGGAGGCTGGTGCTGAGGTCACCGATGTCTCGTGTGTGACTTCCATCCACTAAAAATATTTATCTTAGGGCCAAGAACATTCCAGAAAGCCTTTGATAAAAAAGTAGATTTATGTAAGAATCTTTGTGATGATTTCTGTTAAATGTGTATTTAGATTAATAGTTTGTCGATTATATTTTCAAAATAAAAAGACAGTTTAGACTGCCCTGTTTACCTGGGGTTCCCCTAATTCAGTAAGATTTTGTGGTGAAATAGGAAAAATAAAATTGATTTAGCCATCTGTGAAGATGTTTTCTCTCCAAACTATAAATTCCAGAATAAGTTGACTTCATGACTTGATGAATTTAAAAAATGGGTTTATCTCAATCATGACTGATTCCATTTCTTTTTTTAAAAAAACAATAGAAAGCCAAAAATGAAATTAGGAATACGAGCCTTGTTTAAATCATCATTGAAGAAATGAATTTGGATTTGTGGTATGTCCTTACAGCTCTCTGTGCTAATTGAACGCTTTGTTGTCTTTTCTACGAAGGATTAAAGTTTAAAAAAGGATCTCCTTATTAACAAAATAATTCTAAAAACTAAGCCTCTTGATCAGTCCTGGATTGAGTGCCTTTATTCCACATTCGATGCATTAATTTCCTGATCCTGGAAAACAAAATGTTAGGTACGGCTGCTAATTCAAGAATATCAAGATGAAATTCATTTAATCCTGAGAAATGACTCCTTAGCAAGGAGGGGGGAAACGCAGAACACCTTGGGAGTTGTTAACATTTTATTTATTTATTTAGAAGGGGTGTGGGCGGCGTTGGGAATAAGTAAAACGAGAGCACCAGGGGGGAAAAAAAGATAAATTAAGGATAATCCAACTTGCCTTTGGGATCTGGAGGTGTTTCTTTGGACAATTGCAAGCATGCTGCTAAGCAGACCCTGTTGCAAGGTGGAAAGATGCTGAATGCTTGCAAACAAATCTCCCATTGCTGGCAGAATAATTGGACTAATTAAGTGGGAGGCAGGAACGCCTTTCGATGCCTCCAAAACTAAGTCGGGTCATCCTCTTAACCTCTTAGCAACTATTCCTGCCGCTCTGCCAGATTCCTCATCCCCTCAACTTCTGAAGAAGGTTTCGAGCAGGGACCTGGGAGGGTATTTCTCCACAACGGCCCCCCCTTTCCCCAAATTAAGAAGAAACTGATCCTCTCTTTGGGGGGGGGGATGAAGCGAGAACGCCGTTTGCCAACCTCCTTATTTCTCAACCTGGTGCACGTTTGCCTGGGTAAGTAGAGCCAAATCTTTCCAAACTACGCAGGTTGCAATCAGGGCAAAGGTTTAAGATTCGGAGGTCTTCCTGCTAATGGCGACTTTCAACTCAAGAATGGCATAAACAGCAAGGCGATCTTGCTCATTCCCTTCTTTTCTTTTCTTCCTTTCGGCTGTTGAGGTATTTGCAACCTGAAATGGGCTATTTTTTTAAAAAAAAAAAAAAATAAGGATGGAATGGTATCTAATGGGTTTTCCTCTCTTTCTTTCCCCTCCTTTGGGCTCTGCTGTTCTCTTGCAGCAAGTAAGTAATTGTTTTCTTAAAGATTTGGGAGTAAGCAACCCTTTAAAAAGCCAGGAGGCATTGTTTAGATCACTTAGGAATTGCCTGGAGGTTGAATGGAATATGGTGCCCTTGTGCAATTCAGGGGGATTTGATGAATTCTGACTAGCAAACATTTTGGGGGGATAGATTAGGTCTCCCTTATCTCCTTTCCTGTGCCTGACATGGGTCTGAGTTTAAAACATGGCCAGATTCATAGTGCAAGTGATTTTTTGAGATGTTCAGAGTTTTCTCTGCTTGAATTGGACCTGCAGACCTGAGGGGTTGAATTGAGCTGTGTGCACAGAAGAAAAGAAGTCCATTCACTAACTTTCCACTTACTGAATGTTTCTCCCTTGAATTCTGTTTTCTCTTAACTTACAGTTCAGGCAAATTACGCACCCTATTTCTTTGACAATGGAGCCAGCAGCAGTAATGGGAATATGGCCCTCTTCAGCCTCTCAGAAGATACAGCTGTGGGTCAGTGTTGTGCTCTTGTGCCTCTCTGTGTATTTAAAAAGGTTTTGTTTCTGCACCGTATTTGTTGGGACTGTGATGGCATTCTCTAACAGCTTCCAGAATTCATAGACTAGATTCATAGATGAGATTTGGTGCCAATCTAGAAAAGAATTATAGTTATTTGTTCTCTTGCCTTCTAGACTGAACATCCTTTGATGGTGGCCAGTTGAGGTAGCCTATCATTTTGTCCCTGCCCAATACTAGCAGTTTACATTATCTTTCGATGCAGTCGTTCATAAGTTTGTGATTTCTGGAGTGTGGTTATTGCTGGGATTCACACACTGTTTTGTGGAACAATCCATCCTGATCTGGATAAATTATTCTAGAAGTCTTTTTCAGTTTTCATATTGGAATGTCTGCCTTCAGATATGGTGCTAAAACCCAACCAGACTAATTATTCTGAACCTCATACATGACTCCAGCCTTTATTTCTTCTGGATATATTAGAGGAAAGTTTAAGGGTGTTTTTGTTAAATATTAGGGCTGTGTGAAGTTTCAGAGGAATGCTTCATTTAGATAAAGCTTCAAGCAAAGCATTTTTTTCAAATGTACTCCGTGAAGCACTGGCTGTTTCTTGGCTTTTCTTCCCATCCAGAAGGTATCTCCCAGGCTTGGAGGGTCCATCTATGAAGTGTAGAAAATCTTCTTCTGAACAGCTCCCTCAGCTGAGGCTGACCAGTTTTATGGAAAAGCTTCTTCCATGCCCCTGAGTTCTTCTAATTATTCTCCTCTGTCCTCATTTTAGAGGGACGCAGATGGAGGAGGACATTTTCTTTTCTCTCTCAATGACCACCTATTATCAGGAGGTCAAGTGTGAGAAAGGAATGAAGGACCTTTTTTAGGAAGTGCTAAAAATGTTTTTCAGTGGAGTCAGTTTGCTTGTCTCCTGATGTCTCCCAACAAAGGCATCTGAGGAATCCATGTGGCTTTGTCACAGGGAATTGGATGTGCCCCTTTATGTTGACAAGGTAAACCAGGGTCTAAACATCTATAGAGATTTTTAATCATCCAGATCACGGTTATCCCAGAAGGGCTTTTCCAAAAGGCAACTGGATGTTCTTGTGGTTTTTTTTTCTTCTTTGAAAACATTTCACTTCTCATCCAAGAAGTTTCTTCCATTCAGGGTCTAAATTGCTTCACTGAAGTGTAATTTCATACAGGTATAAATTCACAGAGAATGCTGTGATTTCTGCCATAGTCGTGCAGTTGACTCTGGAACAAAGAGCAAAGCATTTTCTTGCAGTGGTAAGTCTTCTTCAAGTGAAGCTTACATGGATATTTGGTTTTCCTGATCACAATGTAGAAACTTTTTTTGGGAAGTGGCTTGTTCTTACCTTCTTCTTCTCGAGGCTGAGAGAGAATGATTGAGCCAAAGACACCCAGTTGGGTTTGTCCCTAAGGGAGAACTAGAATTTCCATTCTCCTGGCTTCTAGCCTGACACCTTTAACTATTACACCAACTAGCTTCCATTCCTTCTTCTAGCCTTTACCTTCCTCTGGGGTTCAAAGCCATTCCTAGCCATTAGACGCTGTCATTCTCTCCTTACCATTTACTAGTCTCTTGTACCAGAAGGTAGAATGGCTCTATGTCCACATTCTGGACATAGAGGACCGCTGGGGTGAAAGAGGGGTCCAAGAGTCGATCTCCATTGAGATTAAACAGCTTGCTCTCTCAACAGAGGGGGAGGGAAATGACACCACAAATCATTTCTCCTGTTTACAACATAGTCCTTTTGGCAGTCCCAAGAAGGCTCCCATTTGCACTATTGAGGTGACCCTGAAGGCATAGATAAACCTCCAAGTGGCCTTAACGACTCAGAAAGGGAGCCAATGACCAACTGTCTGCAAGGGATATAAATCCTTCCGTCCTCCACCATCCAGTCAGAACTGAAGAAGCTTCTTGGATGAGAAGCGAAACATCTTCAAGGAAAAAACACCGTCCAGTTGCCTCTTGAAAAAGCACCTTTGGGACAACACAGAATGGTCTTTTTCCAAACAAAAAGGCAGGAAGGTATACATGTTCTACACCTCCTAGAAAAATAATCTCATACAAACAAGGTTTGGCAACCCAGTTTTGATATCCTTTAATGTAGGAGGAGAAAAATCTTTTTGAGTGACGAATTTCAGTGGAAGCCAGGCAGGCAGCTTCTGGGGAAAGACGTAGGTAGTGCAAAGCTACTGGTTTCTGAGCCTGTGGTGGTCTACATTTTATTTCCAAGATGGAAGGACCTGTAGATTCTAAAACCTCTTTATGCATTTCTTCCACCCTTTATTGGTTCCTTTATAGCTGGCTATATTGGGAATGTGGGTGGATTTACACCTTGATTAAGTTTCAACACCATTAAATCTTCATTGATGGACAAGGGAGAAAAGTTCTCTGCTTCACTGGTGAAGATTCTTTTGTGAACCTTTTTCTCCAAGAGTCTTGCTTGGACTCATAAAGATAAGCCTTCATTTTAATTTTCTCTTCTTTTCAGCAAGAGCTGCCAAGGATAGATTTTAATTGGTGTTAATTCCAGGCTGGAAAATGTTCTCAGAGTGTTAATGATATGGAGAGTCAGTGCCGAGAGGGTGTAAAAATTATCAGCTAGACACCGTCTGATCTAGGATAGAAATAGAAACCAACCTCTCCAGTTTGATTAACATTTTGATTGCAGGCAACTGGCCTAGCATCAAATCATCTGCAGGAGATCATCTCAGAAAAACCAGTGGATTCCATTGGGCTGTAACTGAAGAACAATTTCCCTTTTTTTTTTTAAAGAAGTCATGCAGATTAACCTTTCATCTTCTCCAGTACTTTTCATCACACTGCTAACCAAACCCCTTCCATGCAGTGAAGGTAAAATATTTCCCCTTCCCTGTGAGTTTTAGGATCAATCAATCAGAATAGAGTTGGAAGGGACCTTGGAGGTCTTCTAGTCCAATCCCCTGCTCAAGCAGGAGGCCCTAAACCATTTCAGACAAGTGGCTGTCCAGTCTCTTCTTGAAAGCTTCCAGTGATGGAGCTTCCACAATGTCTGGAGGCAAGTAGTTCCACAGGTTAATTGTTCTCACTGTCAGGAAATGTCTTCTTAGACCCAGATTGCTTCTCTCCTTGGTTAGTTTCCATTCATTGTTTCTTGTCTTGCTTTTTTGTGCTTTGGAGAATTGTTTGACCCCTTCCTCCTCTCTGTGGCAGCCCCTCAAATATTGGAAGATGCTATCATGTCACCCCTAGTTCTTCTTTTCTCTAGATTGGCCATACCCAGTTCCTGCAACTGTTCTTCTTATCTTTTAGTCTCTAGACTTTTCTTTAATCATCCTAGTTGCTCTTCTCTGCGCTTTTTCCAAAGTCTCAACAACTTTTTTGTAATGTGGTGACCAAAACTGGAGGCAACATTCCAGGTGTGGCCTTCCTAAGGCTTTATAAAGCGGTACGAATACTTTACGTGATTTTGATTCTATGCTTTTTTCTTTCTCCACTGTGGTGTTACAGATCCCACTAGCCACCCACAAGTTCTCAAAAACCTCTTACAAGCACCAAATGTGCTGTCCCTGTTGCCAGTTCCACTTTTGTTTTTGTTTTTATCACCTCTGTTTTGGGGAATATAAACATTACCCAATGTCAGAACACCGGAAGGAAGGACAAATTTAACATCAGCCCAGCTCTGGATGACTTAACACTGCCTGTTTCTTTAACTAGGGACAGACTGAAAACAACTTCATGGGAAAGTAACAGAGGAAAAATGTGTTGGGAGGATATTTTTGTGGTGTGGTCAGGTGTAAGTATTGAAAGGTCCTTGAATTTCCCAATAAATGGACAAATTCTGCTCTTTTAAAAAATCATTTCTATAAGTCATACTTATAACACTGTTTTTTTAAATTAAGATTGCCTGATGGTTATGAGGGGTTCACTTTGGCTTCATGTTCACCCCATAATGTTCTTTCCTGCTTGGGGTCAGGAAACATGCTGAAGGTTCAGATTAGATAAAAGAGAATATTGTAGCTGAGGGTTGACATGAGGGCTCCTTGGGGCTCTCTGAGCTTGGTTGTTTTCTTGCAGACGTTTCATGACCCATCTAAGTAATATCATCAATGTTGGTTAGGATTAGGATCACCACATTAGGATTTTATAGAGCCACGTCCATCATTTGTCTTGAAGAGAAGACCTTGCATTTCACCCTATATTTTTTTTCCCTTCATCTCTACATGATTGAACAACTCAATCACTGTGAGGGCCAAACTGAGAATGAGTCTAAAAAGCTCACCATGCTTGATCTACAGTTTTTGGTACAAACCTCAATTTATCTCCTACAGCATTTTTCTGCCCCATAACAATGAGGTTCTGAAACCTTCCTTTGCCAACTAGAAGGAGATTATGCCTAGATCATTTGGATGGAAGCCTCCTTGGACATAAACTTTCTCCAGAGCTTTAGGTGACCACAAGGAGTTTATCACTTCAATTGGGCTCAATCATCCGGGAGATAATTTCCTACAAAGACACCTTGTCCTGTTCCTCTCATTTTGAATGTCCTGATCCAGCTTTATTCTTACTCAAGTGTTTTTTTTTTTTTAAATAATGGGTAATTCCAAATCGACCCATTAGAAAGCAAGAGCAGGACAATCGGTGTGGTGTAGTGATCAAGATTCGGACTGTCACCCCAGAGATGCAGGTTGAAATTTACCCTGAGGTATGGAAGCTCACTCTCTCAGTCCAGCCTATCTCAATTAATTATTGCTGCAAGTAAAACTGTGAGGAATGAGTTCCACCTTTAGTTCCATCCAAATACTAACCAGCCCTGGCCCTGCTTAGCTTTTCTGAGTCAAGTTCAGTTGGTCGATGGAAGCAGGGAAGGCACTTTGGTGAAGGGACTAAGGCTAGAAACCGGGAGACTCTTGAGTTCTAGTCCCATCCTAGACAGAAAGCCAGCTGGGTGGCTTTGGACCGGCCACCCTCTCTCAGCCCTAGAAAGGAGGCAATGGCCAACTCTTCTGAAATCTTGCCCAAAAAAACCCTGGAGAGATGTGTTGTTGTTTTTTCAGAGAATTGCCAGGGGTCAAATCAGCCTTGATGGCACAGAAACACGCACCTGGTCAATTAAGTGCTACAGAAATCATCCAAAATAGATGGAGACCTTCAGAACTGACTTTCCAAAGTGATGGAAGTTGCAAATTAGTGGTTAGCATAATTCCCATAATAGCTGCCTTAACAATACAATAATAATGTCCACTCTTTAACAAAAACATTTGAAAAACCTTTGAGAAGCTGTACAAATATATATATATCAAAAACTCTTACTGTTATAGGTACACATGTTTATACCCTAAACGGAACAGATCCAGAAGGAGATCCAGTGACCTACGGCATAACCTTTGAGGCAGGAGCCAGAAAATACTTTGCCGTGGATGAAAACTACGGAAATGTCACCCTGATTGCAGAGCTTGATCGAGAGGTACAGGCCAGGAGGATCTGTTTCGAAATCTTATTTTCCCACGGCTTCAGGAGTGACCTCGGTGTGAATTAAGCTATATCATTTGAAAGAAGTTCCCCCTAGACATGCAAGCCGAGAATTCTTCTCCCTGTTGCAGTCATAGGCGTTAGTCCTGCTTGAGGACAGGAATGCTCAGTCTGTCTCCAGTCTCAAGTGGTTCGGGCCAAATGTACGGTTGTTGCTAAAATAAATATTCGAATGTCTCTGATCAATTCTAGAAGCCTGGTGGGCATTCTCATTTCAATGGCTCTCCACAGGTTGAATCTGTGAGAAGCATCATAAGGGCTTAGTTATGACAAATATTTGGGTTATTTTTCATGACCACCTCCTTTTGTGGAGGTAGGGTTAGGTTTAGTTTGGTCACAACAGGCTCTTCAAAGTTACAGCAGTACTAAACACACAAACATTGCAGCATTCCCCACCCCCCCCCCCCCCCGCCACAGGATCAAAATTCAAGTGCTGGGCAACTGACTCATATTTATGATGGTTGCAAGGTCCTGGGATCATATGTTTACGACCTTCTGTCAAGCAAAGTTAAAGGAGAAGCTGGATTCTCTGAACCATGTTATCTTAGCTTAACAACTGCAATGATTCCCTTACCAACTGGGCCAAGAAAAGTCACAAAATGGGGCAAAACGCACTCAGCCAATGTCTCACTTAACAACAGGCATGTCAGTCTCAATTGTGGTCATCAGTCAAGGACTACCTGTATGGAGACATCTGCCTAGACTAGGGGAGCCCTGTTGAACTCGGTTCTGGGGACCCTCAAGCCTGGCCGTTGTGAGTTTACACTGTAGCATTTAACCTGTGGGGCTGCATTGCCTATTTTCTTATTAAACCCAAAGTGAAGAGAAATCAGGGGTTTGTGTGTTATAAACCATTGCTAAAATGCACCCTTCTTGACACCCTCAGACCCAAGATGAGATCGAAGTCCTCGTTAATATTTCCGACGGCTTAAGCACGGTGAGTATATCAGTAGAAAGGTGCTTTCAATCATTACAGGTGTTTTGTTCCATGTGCTTCACACCACTTCACTTTATGCTTCACACACACACTTTAGCTGAGGTATTTTTGCACTGAATTCTCTAAAATCTCAGAAATCTTCCAGATTTTGCTGCCTGATCCCAAAACTCCTCTAAGACATTTGTGTGTTTTGCTATTGAGCTATTCTCTCCTTTAAAAGCAAAATGTGCAGATTTTTTTTAAAAAAGTCATTGACTTGAATTTTTCTCATTCATTCTGAACACAATGCACTTCCTTGAATGTATGTAACCAATAACACTTTTGGAAGGCTCATTGCTGTTACTATCCTGGTCACTTAAATCTCCAGGGTGTATTTTTCCATCTTTATACTGCAGTCCTTTGTTACTGCTGTATTTCTTTCATCCATTAACAGTAGACTAGGATGCAATAAGCAAACAAGCATGCACAGGACTGTGTGTAAGTCCCAGTGCCTGCCTGAACTGTTCCCATGTTCAACTTTAGGTGGCTGAGAAAGTCAGAATCGTTATAACAGATGCAAATGACGAGAGACCAGAATTTATCAACACACCTTACATCGTTCAAGTCCAAGAGGTTGGTGGGTTTTGCTTAGACTCTTGGGTAGCTGGAATGACAAAGCTTCATGAGGGACAAAGCTATGACACTGATATAATAGCTAGTTTGGCGTAGTGGTAAGTTGTTGGTCTAGAAACCAGGAGATTATGAATTCTGGTCTTGTCATAGCCATGAAATCCAGCTGGATGACATTGGAGCAGTTATTCTCTCTCTCTCAGACCAACCCACCTCATGGGATTATTAGGAAGCAGGTATGTCCACTGCCTTGAATTACATAGAACAAAAGTGGGGGGAGGGGATAGAGATAGGAATAGTGGGAGGAGGAGGAGGAGGAGGAGGGAGGAGGAGCTGTGTGATTGGATTTGTATAAAGCAACATATACGAGTATTTGAGAAGGTCCAGTTCTACAGGTCATTTCTGTCAAATGTTACATCATTATCATGTTTGATTTTTCTTGGGAAATTTACAGTGGACAGGTTGCTTTCCTACTTGTTTTGTGTCTCCTTTCATCATTGTGAAGGTAGTGGGGATGGAGAAGACATTACATTCCTTGTATTTGTTGGCTGGTTTCCTCTCAGTAGGACCTCTCACGGTCTCCTTCTCCAGTACACTCTTACTTAGGTAGTGCAGTCTTGTCCTTTTTTAGTCACTTCTTCCCACCTATTTTTTCTCTGACCCCTCCACCTTTGGTCACTACCTTCTTCCATCCCACCCCTTGCTATTGCTGTTTTTGCTTTCAGGCCTAATTCAACTCTTTTTCTGGATTTTCAGAACACGCCGGTTGGGAGCAGCATCTTCCAAATCGAAGCCGTGGACAGAGACACAGGCTCAGGAGGCAGCATTAACTATTTCCTGCAGGTAAAGCTGTGTTTAAGACACGGAGTCTTTGGGGTCTTTGGTTTTTATTCCACTTAGAAGGTGACCGACCAACCATTTTGGATGGCTCACAGGTTTTAAAAAGTAAGGAACAAAGAGATCAGAAGAAACGGGTTGTGAGGCTCTGGGAGAAACAAATGCACAACTTTGTGCTTGTGACGCGCTACCCCGAGACCTGGGAGGACAGCCCGGTTTTGAACAATTATCAGAACAATATCAGGGAGGAAACCAGAGAGATGATGTTCTAGAGAGGAAGCACCAGGAGAGAGAGGCGGGGAGGGAGGGAGGGAGAGAGGGGGGGGGGGGGGGGGATAGAAGGGATGCAGCTCCTAAAATTGACATTTCTGTTCAGGAGCTGAGCTCCTCTTATTCTGACGTAAGAGCAGTGTGTGTGTCTGAAAACACAGGAGTATATTGTGGATGCGGGGAGGTTAGAGGTGGCCTTTCCCCCCACTTGTGGACCCTAAAAGGACCCCCACTCCTTACCCTCAAACTATCCACTATGGACCTCACCCCATTCCTAAGAGGTCTGTAAGGTGAGTGCATAAGCGCAGAATCGTGCCTGCCTTCCCTGTCCTATTGTCCCCTTTTATTCGTACCCATTTCCTGTATTTATATTTATATTTATTATCTTGCAAACTATTGACAAATAAATAAATAAAAGTAAATAAAAAATAATGGATCACTACAAATCTAGGTTCCTGGCTTCAGGTTTTTCAAAAGGAAAGGTAAATTGCAAGGCTTTTGCAGTTTCTACTCATACAAATCCCTCGGTTCTTCCTTCCTTCCTTCCTTCCTTCCTTCCTTCCTTCCTTCCTTCCTTCCTTCATTCATTCATTCATTCAAGATAAAAATTCAAGGTAAAGAGAAGAGCCAAACTGATTTTTTTTCTTTTACCTGATGTGGGGATGAAAGAATTTTTTTTATTTTTAGCCCTGGAGCAGCTCACATATACTGTTTTTAGTGGTGGGGGGAGTATTTTTGAACGAGGGGCCACCGAGATGAGTTTATTTGCTACCAAAACTAAAAATCCAAATAAAATAAAGTTGGATGTTATCTAAACTAGTAGAATTTACAAGATAAAAACAAAATCTCAGGGCAGAATAATGTTTCTTGCCTAATTTGAAGTCTTGGAAAATTTCAAGAAACCAATTACTGTAGCATCAGAGTAGATCTAGGACAACTGATCAAGTAGCTTCTTTTGAAAGCACACAGATTTAAGGAGGATTGAATGTAATCTTCTTAATAGGAGCAGCACATAAGCCAAGCCAAATTTTGTTCATGGCCAAGACAGGGAGGAAGACGATTCATTCTTTCTCAAAAGAGTCTTCTGGGTTTTCATTCTTTTTCTGTTCCAGCAGGGTCCTCCTCACAAGCTCATCCTGATGTTTAGGTTCATATTTATTTTCTGAGGTTTCTACTGCCATCTTAGGAGATCTCTGCTTCTTAGAAACTTTCTGAAAAATGCTGTTTGGTTTTGCTTAACATTGAGTGTGATTTTCTTTCCTTCTTGCTGGTTGTATTGTAGGTTAAATTTAAAACCTGAATTACTATGTTGTGTTGTATCTTGCTTTGTTTTTGATGAGCTGAGCAGGAATAGAAGGGGAAAATTCTAAAATTAGGAAATCTGTGTTTTAATACATAAACAATAGCCCGCAGTCCTCTGTCACCAAAAAGTCCTTGCATGTGGAAAATTAACTGGTGGGATAAGGCATGTAAAGCTGTGTTTTCCCTCTAATGTTCCCCATAAATACCCAGGAATGTTGAAATGAGTTTTGAACTTGTCATTTAAGAAAAGATTAGGGATTTAAGTTTGGATTAGATATGCAAGCATTTTCCACCTTCTTCTGTTTCTTCTATTATATTTGAAAGAAAATAAAAGAAAATTCACCCAACTGAAAATTGTCCCTTTTGAATCTCAGGGTGCTTGAAGAACACTTGAAGGCTATGCAGCTTTCTTTTCACTCTTAGAGACAAATTATGATTGGCAGAAATCTGTGAATACAAGTGGACAATGAAGGAATCCAAGGTCACCAATCCTTTCTTCCTACTGTAGATCTTAGAAAAACTGGCCAGGGTGTTGGGGATCCACACAAGCATTAGGAAAGGGATAGAAAAATGAACTGGTAAACATTGGTTGTTTGGTGTCTAAGGAGATTCTCAGACATCCAGCTCATGGTTGTCCCAAAGAAGAAGCTTCTTGGATGAGAAGCAAAAAGTCTTTGTGGAAAAACAAAAGGAAGTTCAGTTGCCTTTTGAAAAAGCACCACCTTTGGGGCATTCAGTCAGTTCCATAAATAGAAGGATCTCTCTGCAGCTTACAAAGCGCCCTTGAACTCTCAATTGCCATAGTGTAAAATTTCGTTTCCTCTCTCCTGCAGAAGAAAATAACCTGCCTTGCATCTGATGTAGTGGAGAGCAGTGAAAGAATGGTGGGACATGACCCACTTCCTGATCTGGGGATTTGTGTTCCTGTTTTTGCAAAATAGAAGATTGGCAGGGTAGAAATGGTCAAAGTTTCATCCCAGAGGGCATTGACAAATCCTTTCTCTTTGGCTGCCCAAAATGACTGTGTTAATGATGTCCTTGAAAGTCAAGTTCAACTTGAGAGAGTCTTACCTTGAAAAAGGGCAGAGTCCCTCAACTTCAAAAGGAGACATCACTGGCTCCTTCTATGCAAAACCAGTTGACTATAGCCAGTGTAACATTGTCTTTCTTTCTTTCTCTCTCTCTTTCTCCCTTCCTTCCTTCTTTCTTTCCTTCTTTGTTTCTTTCTTTCCCATGTTTCTTTCTTCCAGAATATCCATACGAATAAATTTACCATAGATCGTCATAGTGGCGTCCTTCGCATCAAAACAGGGATCAACCTTGACTATGAAAAAGCAAGAACTTTTTTCGTGACTGCAGTAGCTAAGGTAAAATATATTCCTCAAAGGGCCAAATGCATAATGATATAAACCAGATCTGCAGATCATGGGACACAGTACAATTTCTATTGATAAATTGGTGATTCTGGATCTTTTTCATCCTTGAACTTCCATGAACTGCCTAATCTAGACATGTCAGTCAAAGGACACCAGCTTGAGAAAAGTTGCCTTAAACTTAGATTTCTGATGGCAACATAGATGGTCTATTCAGTTTTTGGGGAAGGGATTCAGTGACCAACATCTTCTGCAAGAGCTCCTTTCTTATATCTGGACACCAGCGTGATCCCTGCTGATGTTTGAGAAGTTCCTAAAGATCTGATTTTTCCAAGGAGCATTTGAGACTAAGCAAAGAGAAAGGGATGGTTGGTGCTGTTTGTATGAGCATAACCTATAGATTCTATATCAATTTTGGGTTGATCCAGTGGTTTATAACAATCTTGGAATTCTTTTTGCCTCCCAGGATGGTGGTGGAAAGCTTCATGGGAATCACAAGGTGTTTTCAGCCACAACTACCATCACAATCAATGTTGAGGATATTCAAGACACACCACCAATTTTTGTGGGCACACCCTACTATGGGTATGTGTATGAGGACACACTGGTGGTGAGTATTGAGGGGATCCTGTTTACCCCACCCAAAACAGTATGGATTCTGAGGGGTCCTTGGTGCTCTCTGAGCTTGGTTGTTTTCTTGCAGAAGTTTCATTACCAAAGTAGGTAACATCATCAATGCTAGAGGGAAGTGAGGTAAGAGAAACAAAGATCTGTCAGCTGAGACAAACAAGCTAACAGTAAACAGCAGCCTAATCAAGGAATTGCCAAGACTACTCCCACCAACACTGACAGGGCAAACCACTTGTACATAAACAGAGAGTAAACTTTGAGCACTGATGATGTTACCTAGTTTGGTAATGAAATGTCTGCAAGAAAACCACCAAGCTCAGAGGGTGAAAAGGATCCCACAGTTTAACCCTGAGCTACAGATATTCTCCTCTGTCAGTATGGATTCTGCAATTTGTTTCTCAAAACAAAATGGCTGAGATGTAAAGAGCTCTATATGTAGAGAACGACCCTGCAATACCTGCTGGTGTCCCTTTCTCCCCCCCACTCCTTTTAGCCGGCTGCTTCAGCAGAACTTTAGAAACAACAGAAGAGCACAGGTAGATTCTGCTAGGACAGGAGGTTGAAAATCAGTGAGCCATTGTATTGCAAATTAGAAATGACCTTGATATGAAAGAAACATTGAAGAGAAACTTGGGGAAGCTATTATATAACCCATGGTTGTCACCAGCATGAAAAAGAAATAAGCATACAGGATACAGAATAACAGAGTTGGAAGGGACCTTGGAGGTCTTCTAGTCCAACCCCTTGCTCAAGCAGGAGACCCTAGAGACCATTCCAGACAAGTGACTGTCCAGTCTCTTCTTAAAAGGCTCCAGTGATGAAGCCCCTACAACTTCTGGAGGGAAGCTGTTCCACCGGTTAACTGTCCTTACTGTTAAGAAGTGTCTCCTTAGTTCTAGGTTGCTTCTCTCCTTGATTAGTTCCCATCCACTGGTTCTTGTCTTGTCTTCTGATGCTTTAAAGAATAAGTTGTCCCCCCTCTTCTTTGGGGCAGCCCCTCAAATATTGGAAGACTGCTATCATGTCTCCTCTAGTCCTTCTTTTCTCTAGACTGGCCATACCCAGTTCCTGCAACCGTTCTTCGTCCATTTTAGTCTCCAGGCCCTTAATCATTTTAGTTGCTCTTCTCTCCACTCTATGCAAAGCCTCAACACTTTTCTAAACCGTAGTGTGGTGACCAAAGCTGCCTGCAATATTCCAAGTGTGGTCTTACTAAGGTTTTAATGCTGCTGGGGAATTCTGGGAAGTAAAGTCTTAAACTTGCCAAGTTTGAAAAAACTCTGAGATAGACAATAGAAACAGAAGGGAGAGGATAAAAATGATATTTAAAAAAATTGCCTCTTTCTGCAATGAATTCACAATGCTCTCATACATGAAACAGACATGGACATGATCTAATTGAGCCCAGAATGTAATTTTATTTTTACTTCCAAGCACATTCCTCCACGCTACTACAATCTGCAAAACTGGAAAAGAGAATGAATAGCCCCGTCCAACTGCAGGATTTAGTCTCAGCAGACAGCCAAGTCCAACTTATTGCTGCCTATGAGATTTTGGTTAATCCTGTTTTAATTTGCAAGACTACAAATGGATTTAGAATCAGCCAAGAGTCCAGGCCAGTGTGTGAATTGGCTCTGGAGTTTTATTTATAGCCGATTCCTCTTCCTACTTTTTCTTATCTTGTGTTGCAATCATTTCTATTTTGTGGCACCGTATTTTACTGTACATATTATGATAGTTTTGCCAATCAGATGGCAAATTTCTGGGAATACTGGAGGTGTCTTTCTTCCACTTTGTAATCTATGGCAATAAAATGTGGCAAGATAATAATTAACTTAATATAACTATTAACCAGTGATCTGGAAACACCCTAATAACGAAATAGGGGACTTTGAAGCGGAAACCACTGAAGAAAACAATGCAATTAAGCATTAATGATCTCTGAGGAAAAATATTTTTATTATCTATTGATAAGATGTGAATACCGAGGTGCTGATATCTCCAGGACAAGCAAGATAGACGGTCATGTTTTCTTGTCACGTAGTTCAGAAACACATAAGCCATCATCACATGTGTAGTGAAGAGCAATTAATCAGATGCAGGCTGAACATATGAGAATCAAGGTTGGCTATTTAGAAAACAAAAGCACACCCTTTCCAGTGTTGATCTGTTCTTTCTTGAAGAACATGTTCACCCAGCCTAGGCAGAAGACTGAACCATCTCCAATTTTTAATTCAGTATTTGGATAGTTTCCAGATTAAAACATAATCAGGCAAGGAGGCACCAGAAGCCCTCCAGGTTTCTTTTTAGACAAATAGAAAAGTACTTCAGTTGCCTAAGCATTTCAGGAAATTTAAGATTTGCAGGATTTCATGGCTAGCTCTTCAAGGCAAAGCAGTGGAGATGTTTTATGTCCACACAGACACTTCTGCATGATCCTGGACCTTCAGATGTCTCAACTGGAGTTCCATCTCATGTAGCATCTGATGATCCCATATTGGATTGAACATTGAAAGCTAACATTTCAACTGGGTTAAAAGTAGCCTAGACATATCTAGAACATACAGAAATATTGATAGCCATCTTGAAACCCAAATATCAGTACATTGATCTTTGGGTTTTAATACAATACAACTCAGAACACTCAGACTGCCCAAGGATCTTTTGAGACAATTCTACAGAGGAATTATTGAGTCTGTCATTTTTCCTCTGTAATTGTCTGGTTTGGCACAGCAACCAAATAAGACAGACCCAGATTCCAAAGAATAGTTAGAGCTGCAGAAAACACAATTGCAACCAGCCTACCTTCCATTGAGGACCCAAATTCTATATGAGCCAGAAAGAGGGATGAGAAAATATCTATAGACCCCTCATATCCTGGACATAAACTGTTTCAACTACTCCCTTCAGGATGCTGCTACATTGCTATCATCCTTCTCATCTTCCCTACTACCTTCTCCTATTGGTTTCTTATGATTTATCACTTGCTGTTTGTATCTTATGATTATGATTGTACTTTGTGATTTATGATCTATGACTTATCATTTTGTTGGTTGTATATGTACACTGAGAGTTTATGCACCAAATTCCTTGTGTGTCCAATCAGACTTGGCCAATAAAGAATTCTAGTCTAGTCTCCTTCCAAAAAATTGCAAGTTTCCCCTCCCCTGTGATGCCCCATCCCACCTCCTCAGAATAAACAGCTCTGGTCTTATCTGGTACGATCAGCTGTGGTCATCTTCCCAGGTCAGCTCCCCCTCCCCATTTCCCACAAGTAGCTTCACAGGGGTGGATTGCCCCAAATTCCCCCCCCCTTCCCCTTTGATGGCAGGATGCCAGCAAGGTGCCAGGCTGAGGATGGAGATCCTGACAGTTAGGCCTCTTGATACAGATTTTCCCTTCCTTTTTCTCCCTAGGGATCGGAAGTTATAACTGTGGTTGCCATTGATGGAGACAGGGGAAAACCTAATGACATCTATTACAGCATTGTGAATGGTAAGTGGTTGGTGTAACTGGGAAGACATAACTGAGGTAGTCAGAGGAAGGAAGAGAGAAAACCTTGACAATACCTATCAGAATGATTTCCCAGGGAAACAGCTGTAAAATATTCTGAAAATGTTTTTGTACACATTGCCGATTTGCACTTGCCCAATATTTGACCTCATACGATTCACCAAATCCCCTGCATTGGTGTGTTGTGTTGCTTTATATGCTTCTTGTTGAATCACAAACTCAGCCATCAGCCTGGAAAAATCAAACCACTTTTAGGAAAAAGCAGTTGTTGTTGTTGTCATGAGGGCTTAACTTTCTGACTCATATCCCTTCACAGGTTGGTTGGTTTGGGGGGAATTAGAAGACATTCATACTTGACATAAGGATAATTTCAAGTTGTTGCAAAAAGTGTGTGACAGAGTGTGTGTTTCCCCTCCCCACTCCAGAAATGTGCATAGGAAATGAAACTTGTGAAAGTGAAATCTTCTCACTTATCTTCATGAGACATGTTCTCATGGCTGGGAGGTATAATTATACATCTGCTAATTAAAAATGTTCTCTCTTTTTAATCAGCTTATGCTTCACATAGCCAATACTTTGGCATTCCAAGGTGGGGCGTAGATCCTTAGAGTGGGCTTATAGAGAGATCCAGGGCAATTTTATACACAAATTCTGCTCTTTTAGACTTCTGTTGTTATTGTTCAGGAGGATCTTCAATGCTAGGAATATCTCTGATTCCCACATTTCAAGGGACTGCAGCCCTTGGAAAGCTTGCCACCGAATGGCCCAGTTCCTGAAAACCGCAGGTGCTGCAGTGTCTCACCTTTTTAAGCATGATGCACTAGAAAAATGTCAAAGTGTGCTTAACATCATCAACACTACAAACACTCCCCAACTCCAGCCCCAACTGGGCCAGTGGGGGGTATGGAAAATCACAGCTCTTCCTGCGTGTGAATCAGTCAAGCTTATTTTGTCTCCTCACTGTTTCTATTTTCCCAAAATAGTAAATTCATCCTCTGCCCACCAGACTGCTGATTCTTTGGGGACACTGCTAGGCACAAAAATACACATCCCAATTCTCCTCCAAACACATTGGCACATTTTCTATCCTGTAGTTGATGCTACATCACCTCCCTACTACCAATTTGGAATTCTTGTGTCAGAATGTTAAAAATAACTATGTCTAGTTTAACGGAAAGAAGGACTAGGGGTGACATGACTGCAGTCCTCCAATATTTGAGGGGCTGCCACAAAGAAGAGGGGGAAGGTCATCCTATTCTCCAAAGCACCTGAAGGCAGGAGAACAAGCAATGGATGGAAAGTAAATCAAGGGGAGAAGCAACCTGGAACTAAGGAGAAAATTCATGATAATGAGAACAATCAACCAGTGGAACAATTTGCCTCAAGAAGTTGTGGGTGCTCCAATGCTGCAGGTGTTTAGAAAAAGATTGGACATCCATTTGTCTAAAATGCGTAGGGTCTCCTGCTTGAGCAAAGGGTTGGATTAGAAGACCTCCAAGGTCTCTTCCAGCTCTTTTTTGGTCCTTTCTCTGGGAGGAATAAGAAAATTTCTTGATTTCCCCTTCTGAGCAAAAGCCACTGCCCACTGCTGATTTAGGGCCAGGTCCATCTCCCCCATCCCAACAGAAGCTCTGAGAGAGACAGAGACAGAGACCCATTTAATTAATCTGGACCAACAGAAGTTTGTAAACAGACTCCTACAACAAATTTCTGGGTGTTCTAAACTCAAGACTAAATCTTGATCCTAGACACATTTCTATTAGATGTTGTTCTAAAAGTAATGGCACCATGCAAGACTGAAATCTGTAGTTGGAGAGAGAGAGAGGGAGGGAGGGAGGGAGGGAGGGAGGGAGGGAGGGAGAGAGAGAGAGAGAGAGAGAGAGAGAGAGAGAGAGAGAGAGGAGAGAGAAACAGGGTTTATTATTCATACCCTCACTTGCGTTTGAGAAAAGGTATCTCTATCCTAAATTGGGTTTTTAGAGATGGTTTTGCTTATCGCTCTCCAGGGTCCTGAAATCTCTTCCTTTCAGCTTACTGAAATTTAAAATGTATATTTTAAATATACACATTTCTTCTGCTTTATCCAGAAAGACATTGAACAGAAAAATATGTTTTTGGAAGAATAAGGATTGGAAGGCATGTCCATTTTATCATCACAATAACCCTAGACATTAGATAACTTCTGAGATCCCTTCCAATTCTCCAAATAGGAAGGCCTTTGGTGAAATCCATGTAACTTCATTGTTCTGTGGTATGACCCCCATCCAAAGTCATTAGCTGCTGTACTCAACTAATTGTCTCATAACAACAGGATTGAGTGACTCTTCTTTCTAGAAAACTAAAATTTCCACAGGGCTAACCTTGCATATCTCTGTTCTTCACAGGAAGTGAAGGTTCATTTGAAATAAATAATGCAACAGGAGCTATTTCTGTTGTTAAAAGCCCAACTAAACTGAAGAAAGAAGTATATGAACTGAAAGTCCAGGTACTTTGTCTTACTTTCTCACCATAAACCTATGGTCTTGCCATGATTGTGATGGATTTATATTGTGCAGAATTTCAACATCTGCAAAGATAGCACACACTTTTCCCCAGAGAACTGAAACATCAAGAACATCAGTCCACACTGCATCTACCAAAAAGATAATTGGCACAACAAAACCCTGATCTTATTTAATCATGACCCCAGAAATTATGGAATAAATGGATAAATTTGTTCAGGTGCATCTAAAGTAGGTCAGGAAAGTGTTACAGCTAGGTTTTAGGAAACAGCACAAGCCTAAAAAGAAAGTCACACAGCATGTTAATGATGATGAAATCACTCCAGGACAAGTAAAAAAAAAATATCCCTATTTTCAAGACCCCAGTTCTAAGGGAATGCGCAGTCAGAGACATGTTGAGGTAATGAGATATCTATTTTGCAGCTTTCAACTTAAACAGTGTGTGTGATTTTGAGTCAAAAGAAGAGGAAATAACATGAAAGAGACTTTGTGTGTGAAACAGAAAATAATGATGGTTTGATTATTAGAAAAAATAATAGACGAGAGAAAAATGAAAGTTATCTTCTAACTGTAAGAGATCAAATTAAATTTCTACTTACAATATTAAAGAAGACTGGAAGTCATTTCTTATTTATTTTTTCTGCATTTTTGGCTTCCTTCCCTCATTCCCTCCTTCTCTCCCTCTCTTCTTTTTCTATACCTTTCTTTCTTTCCTTCCTTCCTTCCTTCTTTCTTTCTTCCCTCCCTCCCCCCTCCCTCCCACCTCACTTTCTTAATTATTATGCTCTGTAGCTTTCATCTTTCTGGCTTAAAATTTAATAATTATTTTTAGGGGCGGGGATTAACCAAAAGCAGAAAACCTCATTACACTAAAGGTTTTAGTAAATAACTGTTTCATCTTATCACTTGTTTGAACATTATATATATATATATATATGTGTGTGTGTGTGTGTGTGTGTGTGTGTGTGTGTATATATATATGTATATGTATATGTATATGTATATGTATATGTATATGTATATGTATATATGTATATATGTATATGTATATGTTCGGCTTGGTTCGGGTATTTTCCCACGTCATTGTAGTTCTTTTAAAGTTGTAGCAACGTTTCAGCAGAATCTCATCTGCCATCATCAGGCTTCTGTATTGTGTCCGTCTGTGAGTCAGACTTTTACAGTAGTTTCAGATTTGAATTTGGGGCAGCCTATTGCTGTGCCAGAATGGTTTATATATGTATATATGTATATATATATATGTATATATGTATATATGTATATATGTATATATGTGTGTGTGTGTGTGTGTGTATATATATATAT